TACACTAGTATACCACTTATTATGGGCAGTGATATGGACAATGAAAATGTGTTAACATGTTGCTACTCTTATAGTAGGTGTAGGAGTAGTAACTCAAAGAACCCCTTGTGTTATTCAACTTGCTAAAGTACCCATCTGTAGGGTCGTTGTGTGACTTGTATTGAACCAATGTCACTGAGGGACACTCGACTTGGTCCAATATCGCTTTGAAAATGCATAAGAACATATGTTCCCAAACCCAGCAGTGTCTCATAAATCATGCAACAGATCTGGCCACCATTACGGGTACTTAATATTGCGATTTCGCACCTATTTAACAGGATACCTCTGTCTATTGCAGACCAAATTAAAAAGCTTCAGCCAAGCTTAGTAGTTGTTGTTTAACGCTGCACTCAGCAATATTCCAACTATATGGCAGCGGTCTGTAAATAATCGAGTCTGGACCAGGCAATCGAGTGATCAACAGCATGAGCATCGATCTACACAACTGGCATACGATGACATGTGTTTGAAGTTTGAAAGGTATAAACTCGACCATTGACGAGTGGCGGTTGCAGTATCCAGTTTCTATGTGGGTGGTTGTGTGAATAGCGTGTTACGCCGCAGAGTAAACAGAGGGTATTATGGGTAAAGGTCTTCTGTCAGCCTTAGCCACACTAAGGTTGGGTCGGACCAACCATAAATTTTCACCTTAAGTAAGGCTACCTTAGCGTAAGGTAGATTCGTACAACGGGACGTCACCCTTAGCAAAGGCCTAAGGTTAAAACTTAAGGAGATAAGGTAACCTTAGAGCTAAGGTTGTTTTGTACAACGGGACCCTGGAGATTGACAGTGGGGATCTCTCTGTGTGTCTCTCCCTGTCTCTCCCTGTCTCTCTCTCTGTCTCTCTCTCTGTCTCTCTCTGTCTCTCTCTGTGTCTCTCTCTCTATGTCTCTCTGTGTGTCTCTCTCTGTGTCTCTCTCTCTCTCTCTGTCTGTGTCTCTGTCTCTCTCTCTGTGTCTCTCTCTGTGTCTCTGTCTCTCTGTGTGTCTCTCTCTGTGTCTCTGTGTCTCTCTCTGTGTCTCTCTCTCTGTCTCTCTCTGTGTGTCTCTCTCTCTGTCTCTCTCTGTGTCTCTCTCTCTGTCTCTGTGTCTCTCTCTATCTCTGTGTCTCTCTCTGTCTCTGTGTCTCTCTGTCTCTGTGTCTCTCTCTGTCTCTCTCTGTGTCTCTCTCTGTGTCTCTCTCTCTGTGTCTCTCTCTCTGTGTCTCTCTGTCTCTCTGTGTCTCTCTCTGTCTCTCTCTCTGTATCTCTCTCTCTCTGTCTCTCTCTCTGTCTCTCTCTGTCTCTCTCTCTCTGTCTCTCTCTCTCTTCTCTCAAAACAATATAGTGTGAAACAACAAACAACTGCACTCAGTTCAACAAGTTAACAATTGTATTATAAAAGTAACCAAGTTTACAAATCAAGACACATCATAATTAGAAATTTCAAAGGCAGAACAATTGTAAGGGTAGTATAACATATTAGCAAAGGAAATGGCAATGTTCTATACTGAGCCAGACATCACTACGTACATGTAACACATCAGGTCTTTGAATGGCATTTAGAAGGGATACACATCAGGAAGAGAGTTTTATCGATGACAACTTCTTTATTATGAGGAACACAACGTTTCTTACTCCTCCATCAAGTGAATGAATGATATGAGGCAGAGAATATATAAGTGTACACGTCGGTATAAACACTGCATGTATCAATTTACAACACGCACACTAAACACAAATTGTGATAAAATAGGGGCCGGGTAGACCAGTGGTTAAAGTGTTCGTTCGTCACGGCGAAGACCCGGGTTCGATTCCCAACAAATTACAATGTGTGGAATAATGTGACAAGCAGCGTAAAACAGTAACTAACTCACTGATAAACTATTCATTCGTTCGCTACATTTTATGGCTCTTCACATACTACTCATAACGACTTATCTCCCTTTGACCACTCAGTTGTCCCATTTGACCAATTCAGTAAATTTTGTAAAACAATTGTTCATCAAAGTCGCATATAGAAAAAGTGATTCAAAATCATTACAACTCAAAATATCAATATTCTACATAATATTGGACCACATAGTGTTATTGAGACAATATATCTGAATATAAAGTAGAAATAATGGCTGCTTACATTACATTACATTCCAGTAGGTGAGAGAGTATGGTTTTATATCGCTTTTAGCTTTTAGCAATATTCCAGCAATATCAAGTCGGGGGACACCAGAAATGGGCTTCACACATTGTACCCATGTAAGGCATCAAACCGGGGTCTTCGGAGTGACGAGCGAGCGTTTTAACCACTAGGCTACCCCACCGACCCTCAATACATTACAAGTATGTATGGTTCGTCACATTTACATCAAAAGTCAAATGTCCCTACAGTGCATCACATCCTATCTATCCAGGTAACATATATCTATATTTAATACAGAAAAGGGTTCTGACATGTTCTCTCACTTACGAAATGTAAACACCTTCACTCCATCTGGTGTGCACAAGTACATACGACCACGCCCACCAACACACAGTCCTAATGGATACTGGACACCATCCTGTGATGTCAGTATGTTTCTAATAAACTGTCCTGACTCTGTCAGATGGATGACTTTGTATAGTGAGCTGTCTGTCACCAGGATGTCGCCTGTGCTGGTACTTGTGATACCACGTGGAACCATCAGTGCTGTGTCTCCTGTACGTATGTAGTTGAACACCACGTCTCCCTCGGGGGTCAGACACACGACACAGTTGGTTACACGGTCAGACACCAGGATGTTTCCTGTCCTCGTGGTACAGAGGTAGTAGGGACACTTTAAGATGTCTCCACCATTGTGGCCAGGACAAACTGACTTCAGCACGTGTCCCGACATATCCAGGATATCAACACAGGGAGGGGACTTAGAACTAGCTGCCAGTGTTGATGGTATCAGAGACGTTATACCCCAGTACTGTTTGCTGGTTGTGATGGTCGACAGCAGCATCAGGTCAGGGTTCACTTCAACTGTTACAATCTGACTGGTAAACGGCATAGTGACAGCCACCTGGTTGTCTTTTACCCTTGTTATACCCCATGGTCTACCGTCCAGACTGAGCTTGCTGTGACCTGGTTGACTGTTCCTGGTGTAGAAGGACTTTACACTTCTGTTCTGTGTGTCTGTAACTACCACTGTGTCTGTACCATTCACCTCTAACACCGTCACGTCACGGGGGAATACTCCACCTGCATCTCCTGCTACTGTTAACTTAATGGTGTCCTGTAATACAGGGGTAGCCTTTAGGTCCAGCACATCGTCATACTGGACGTGTATGTCACCCAGATGGAGATCTTCCAGTGCTCTACTCAGCTTGTCCGTGTCCTGTCTGAATGTTATCCTGTCTATTCTTCCCTTCTCCTTCACGTCTACGACACCGACAGCCTCCACATCACCGGCCTCACATCCCTGATACATCTCATACACATCCATGTCACACTCAGATTGTAGAGCCTGGTCTATCAGCTCAGTCTGTTGTCGGTACATCTGTACTGATATCTCACCTGACTTTATGTCTGCCTTCAGTTGTCCAATGTGTCTGTCAGACATCTCTTTCAGTTCAGACAAAAGTTTCCGTTCCTTGGCTTTGATCATCTGTATTGCTGCGAGACTTGCAGACTTGATACTTGATTCTATTTGTACATAACGAGCCAATTCTTCACCAACTTTGTAGGTTTGTTTTCCAACATGTGTTTCCATCTTATTGTGTTTCTTTAACAAATTGTTTTTGTTCTTTCTCAGCTCGGTTTTCATTGCAGGAATCTCTGACCCGATTTCAACAACCAACTCACATCTCCTGTGATGGATAATGCAGCATGTTTGACAAACAGCTGTTATACAATCTTTACAAAGATATTTGATATTCTCGTCCTTGTGAACTTTACACATGACCTTTCTCTTGACCTTGACCCTTGTGTCTCCAGACAGGTTAACCACGTCATGGTGACGGAAAGAGGGGATTCGTTGGTGCATCCTTGTACATCGTTCACATAGTGCGTCGTCACAAACAGAACACCAAGATGTAGCTGGAGTTGTCTCCCCTTCCTCCTTGCAATAACTGCAGTTAGTTGTATCTGGAATAACCATTCAATCATGTGGTGATAATAACTTGGTGACATCACAGTGTATTATAGGACTAGATGTGGTGATATTAACCTGGTGACATCACAGCGTATTATAGGGCTAGATGTGGTGACATTAACCTCATGACATCACAATGTATTACAAGGGTAGATGTGGTGTTATTAACCTGGTGACATCACAATTTATTATAGGGCTAGATGTGGTGATATTAACCTGGTGACATCACATTGTATTATAGGGCTAGATGTTGGGGATATTAACCTTGTGACATCACAATGTATTATAGGGCTAGATGTGGTCATATTAACCTGGTGACATCACAATGTATTATAGGGCTAGATGTGGGTGATATTAACCTGGTGACATCACAATGTATTATAGGGCTAGATGTGGTGATATTAACCTGGTGACATCACAATGTATTATAGGGCTGGATGTGGTGATATTAACCTGGTGACATCGCAATGTATTACAGGGTTGGATGTGTCGCATCATGTTCCTACTTGACACATGTGAGAAAAATGTATCGGAAACATCGGAACACTTCTCAGGTTGAAACGTCATGTAAATATGTTTGGAATTGTCGCACCGTAAACGTCGTCGTACGGATCATGTATCAGGTTTATATATGTCTTTGGTTATGTCACCTGATATGCTGTGTCTTGTCCGTTGAACAGATATCCACAATGAAAGTTCACATTCCTCACAAACAGTTTTTTTATATACATCAAACTATTCTAGTATATACATAGCAGGGGTCATACAATGTGCATAACATCACAAACATTTATATTGCTTAAATAAATTATTCTGTTACCTGCTTGCAAACAACACGTATATTGCTACAACCTACAACTATTCACCTTTAGATCCGGGGCCAAACGAGTCCAACAGTCCCTGGATGACAAAGATAGGCTTGACGTCATCCGCCCACTCCTCCACTGGTCTCTTGGGGTCAGACACGTTCGTCATCTTGCTGCAGAATGGACACAGGAGAGACTTGGCACTGAGGGCTTCCCGTCTGGTTTTGGTGTAGTTGACGACACATTTCCGACAGAAGGTGTGATTACACACAAGTGTACAGGGCTTGTCAAACACCTCTGTACATATGGTGCATGTCAGGAAGTGTTCTGTCAACTTCTGGGAGGTCGCCATCTCTCCTACCAAAAGTCAGCAGACACAACATAAACATTCTATCCACTATACAAACCACAACATTCATTACACAAACACCGACCATATTTGTAGTCCCGATTTACTGACAGGTCTAAAACAACCAAGTCTAGTAAATCCTGCTCTTGGAATTATGAACGAATGAAAACATATTCCAGATGTATGTAGATCCTATAATCAATGAGAGGTAACCATGGTAGACGGGTTGTAACTGGGTCGTCTGTATTGTGTGTGTATGATGTGTGCGTGTGTGGGTCGCCCTGTCTTGTTGGTCATAAATAAAACATAGAACAGCTATTCTATCACATATTTCACGTTATACACAAACAATCCTGTATTTGAGAAGCGTTAGAAACTGTATATAGGATGAAGGGAAGTGACCATCAGTTGGTTTGATTCTGTCAGTCTTGTAGATTCTTTCTTTGGCCTGATATTGATACTGGATACTTCTTCATACGTAAAACACAGAACATACAATCCCTCAGATATTTCACGGTTTACACAAACACAAAATTCTCTCCTTTGCCTGACATACTGGAACCGTTGAGCCACAATACGAATGTTTATGGGCACTCGTGGTGCCTCCTCATGTCGTGGTAAGAACATGCACGCAATAGAAAGGCAGCTACAACTCTGCCTTAACAAAATCCAAAAATGAGCCAATGAAAATGGTTTTTAAGTTTCCAAAATCCAAAACAAATTGTATTCACTTTTGTCGTAAATACAAACCACACAAGGATCCAGACCTAACTTTAGATGGTACTCCCATCAAGGTAGTAGAAGAGGCCAAATTCCTTGGACTCATATTCGACCGCCACCTGACATTCTTACCACACATAAAATATTTGAAAACAAAGTGCTTGAAGGCTCTAGACTTGCTAAAAGTAGTTTCAAATACAGAGTGGGGAGGGGATCAGACCACCCTCCTTCACTTGTACAGATCATTTGTTCGCAGTAAACTATGGCTCCAATGTCTACGGTGGAGCCTGCAAAAGCAATTTAGAAAAATTAGACTCTATCCACCACCAAGGACTGAGGCTCTGCCCACCACTTGGAATCAGGATCAAACCCAAATAACTGCAGCTAAAATTGATCTCGACATCATTGCACCATACCGACTTCTGTCCTCACCACCATGGCAAATGGTGAAACCACAGGTCGATCTTTCCCTCACCAAACTCAAAAAGTCTGAAACAAATCCCTTGGTGTTCCAACAGGAATACAACCAGTTACGTTCGAAGTATAATACTCACAGATCCATTTTCACAGAAGGATCAAAGGACGATGGCCAAGTTGCCAGCGCTACAGTCATCGGAGCCAAGACTGTCTCCTCTAGGATCCCCGACAACAGTTCCATTTTCACCGCTTAAGCCAAAGCTATCTTCTCAGCTTTGACCTACATTCAACAGCAAAATCAGTCCAAAAAATTCATCGTATTTACAGATTCATTATCCTGCCTTCAACAAATTCTAAACGTGACTTCAAGTCACCCAATCATCCTGGACATATTAGAACTGTACAACGACCTTTCTACTGACCAATATGACATCATCCTCTGCTGGTTGCCGGGTCACGTCGGCATAGCAGGTAACACTAAGGCCGATGCTGCAGCAAAAGCAGCTCTAGAAAAGCCCTTATCTCCACTGCTAATCCCGTACAGTGACTTCAAACCCACTATCAAAAGCTATACTCGGGACCTGATGCAAAAAAGGTGGGACACTCAAGTAGGAAGAAACAAACTCCATGAATTGAAGCTAATAATCGGTTATACCTACTTGGGTTGTCAGTCAAGACGCGATGAGGTAATTTTACGACGATGTCGTATTGGCCACAGTCGATTTACACATGACTATCTGAAAACGGATGGGGATGGACCCCCCATGTGTGTCTCTTGCAATGAGGTGTTCACCGTCAAGCATATTCTGCTCGAATGCGTGGACTTATCGCCTGCAAGGGACTCACATTATGATGCAACAAACCTAGATCTGTTCTCACGCGTGAGCGCCCATCTGATACTGAACTACCTCAGGGAAGTTGATCTGTATCATAAATTGTAACTGTGAAATGTAACAACCATAAATTGTAACTATGAAATGTAACAAACCGCCTGCCCTTAAATTTGATGCTATGACTTTTTCTGCTTTTGAATGACAATGTAATCAATAAATGTCTTTGAAATAAAACTCATTCCGAATATGTACTTACAATGTTTACTAATGCAAACTTGTTCTCGCCACTATATTGCTGGAATAATGCCGATGTGACGTAAAGCCCAACTCAACTCAACTCAATTGTACTGATTTCTGAACTTAGTTAATTTTAGAATACAACTCTTAATTACAGCACATTTCTATGTTGTTGTTTATGTTGGTTTCAAACCCTGCTCGTTTACGGTATTAATTCATAATTTAGTTCAGATGTTTAGTTCAAGAAACACTGCCATGAAAGTCAAGTGGTCGGTCCCCGTGCTGTTGTATGAGTTGTGCTATTGTGCTATAGGAATATGTTATCTTTTGAGGTTGACAAGCATTACCACATGACATTGTATAGTATAACAGACTGGGCATGTTTTGGTGTCACGAAGCACCATGAATCAGTGGTCTGTCTGTGAGCAGCTCGTCAATGGATCTTTGCAACTCGTCGTCACCAGCTTTACAACATGCAGTTATGAACCGTGTGCAGCATGTCAATCACCTGACAGAGTTACATGGCGACACCCGCTCATTACCATATCGAAAGTAGGAGAAGTTCAGTTCGGGTTTCTCTATATTAGATGTAAAATATTGTGGTAATGTAGAAGTATTTTACCATATTTTGTGCTGTAGCAATTATCTGAGATCAATTCAGTAACAACTTAAGCAAACACACATTATATACATACATCCACATAGATCGGGACAGATCTCAGTATTGAAGTCACGAGGCTGATCAAGGAAGTAATGAAAGTAGACACTTCATACACCATGCTCAGTCTAAACATTGCAGGATATTAGGTGCCCGGATTTGAGAATGTACCTGGAGATGACCTAACAGTTAGATGAACCATTGTGGTGTTACCTGTACACAGTAGGACAGTTGTGTAGCTTTATAACTGGAATAGACACAGCCCCTGTGACAACACACTTACCTGAGACAGACAGGTAACCGGTGTGGAGTTAAACTGATCATCAGGCGAGATGGACCCTAGGTAACCCGTGTAGAGGGAAACTGAGCACAGAAAGTGATATACCGTACAGGGTTGACGTGGTTCATTCGTGATCAACTCGTCATTCAGGGACAGTTTGCATGCTACGGAAAGGGACGAGAGTGAAATCGCCATTGAATGCGCGGGTAACGATTCAAGATTTATTGTCGCAGTTTTATAGCTGTGATAGTGTTAAGATTACAAACTTCAGGTTCCTGTGATATAGGTGGATGACTGCATAACTACAATCACTCACTCACTCACCCACCCAGGAATAAGTCACGCCGTTATCTTTTTGTGGGTCTGTTATATTCAGTACATTAACAGTTGGTATGTTAATACAGATTGAATGCATGAGCGCCGACAATATTATCTGTGCATTAAAACATTACAGAAATATAATGATCACTGAGGGGTTGAAATTTACAAAGACCAGGGGCGATAACTCATGACATGAGTTAAACAAAGCCATAAATGATATCGGCGGTAATCGCCGCATAGCATACAATATTTACCTTAGATGGTTAACATAAGGAACTGAGAACGTGCTGTCTCACGGTAATTTTTGCCTTAAAATAAAATATATGAATTCAGGATAATGATGACATCAGAGTTGCTAGCGTTCCAAGGTTTATTCAGATGCAGAGTGAATTCAACAAAACATTTCAATTAACATGTTTTGAACATTACATTTATGAATTATTTCAATTCCATCATATGTATACATATATATGAACACATCAAATAATGATAAGGTACAGTATTACAGATAACTGATAAGAACATATTGTACTCATATATATAACACTATACTTATCGAAACATCAGTGGAGGTAGGGGCATAGAACGTAGATGCAGTTAGGCTGCATTAGTTTAATAATGGGGCTATATAAAGAAGGAAAAAGGGGTTAAGCTTCGGTGGGTGTGTGTGTGGGGGGGCGAGGGGGGGCGTAGAAGGCAGTAAGGCAGGGGACAGCAGCTGAGAGACGAGCGCTGGGAGTAAGCTGGCTGTGTTGAGTGGCCTTGACCTTGTCAGTGAGAGCTTGCGTCAGGTTGTTTACATTAGTATGGTGTCCTATAATTGCCATCGCGTGTCGCGTAAAAAAAGAACTACGTCGTGGGCGACGTCGCTCACGACGTCGCATAAAAAAGACGACGTCGACCACGACGTCGAGTAAGACGTCGTCCACGACGTCGTGCAGAAATACACAAGAATGATCTACGACAAAAATACAAAATCGACGTCGTCCACGACGTCGAAGGCGACGTCGCCCACGACGTCAAGGCCGACGTCGCGCACGACGTCGCGGGCGACGTCGTGTTTAGAAATTGTTTTATTGGAAAATCGGGGAATAACCTTTTGTGGTGCAGTTGTATTTCTATTGATCTCTAATCACTGATTTCATGTTAAACATTACTACTTATTTAAGTAAACCAATCGAGGGGTAAGCGCCAGAACACCTTAAGTAAAAAATTCTGTCAAATTTAGTTGATGCTTGATGTTGTGAAAACGGTGTTGTTTTAAAGGATCAAAACACTGGTTTTCTACAAAATGTAAAATGTCTCCACTCAGGAAACGAAATATGACTTTTGTACCAGCGGGTTGACATGTGAACCAGCGGGTTTAGTGAGTGAGTTTAGTTCACTCAGTTCATTAGTAATGAGTTATTCAATTTCTTACATAAACGTGCAAGCTATAAGAATGTTGGAATTGACAGTTTTCATCATCATTTCCACAAATTCAGTTATGGAAAATGCACAATTGTAGCGACCAGAACTGGGATAAACAGTCCACAATTTCGTAAAACCCTATTTACTGCAGTACTGCTCCCGGTTA